GGGGGGGGGGGGGGGGGGGGGGGGGGGGGGGGGGGGGGGGGGGGGGGGGGGGGGGGGGGGGGGGGGGGGGGTTAGATTTAAGGTAGTCATAAATCTGAGAGGTATGCTTGAGAAAATTGCCAATATTTAAAAGGACATCAGTACATATCAAATAATCTACTGGAGAGGAAAAATTGCATGCATGGTTGTCCAGATCTTTGTCCAAAACACAGCTGTAGAGGAGAAGGTGTCCTCTTACATACCCGAGTACATAGAAAAGGTATTTGGGTTTTCTTTGTCCCACGCAACCCCAGGGTTTTAAAGCTGAAACAGCATCTGCATACCCAAACATGGATCCAGTGTTACCCTGGGGGAATTCTAAGCTTTGCCAAAGCATACAGTTCCTGATTACAATTTGATCAATTTGCATCCTGTGGTCAGACCATGCTGATGTCCTCTAGAGAATTGTTCTCTTATCGTTAAAAACGCAAATGCATTCATATTCGTATAAAAATGATTGTTTTTGGAAAAAAGAACTTAAGCATCATATGATCTAGGCGTTAACTGGGATGTCCCAAACGTCTGCATACATCAACATGGAAACTATACGCCTCGCTCTAGGAAGCACGCAGATGGAATGGTCATTGAGGGGTGGAGTATTTTCTGCAGGAAATCCTAACATTTTAAGCTAGATCACAAAGTTGTTATAACTCACCATGGCTGGAAAAGTTCTCAAAACCCTAAAGTACTTTACACGTGAGCAGCCCTGCACGAACAACTTGTTCATATTTCGCAACCGCGCGATCAAGGTGTCAGTAGAAGACTGGCACTAGTTGAAGTTTTTCCGTTGGCCAGAAAATACACATGCAGCAAGGGCTCGTAAAACATAAAACATGGCGGATGAAAGTTCATTTCAGGGGACAGAACTTAAAGAAGACGATGAATTGGATGAACTTCTTGACAGTGAGTTATTTCATTGTACTTTTGTTGCTTTGGATAGATTTCTTTGTCCGTTTGCAATGTTGATTGAAATATAATGCTTGTACTGTGGGTTTGTAGAGAGCTTTTAGTCACGCGTAAATTAATTCTTGCACAATCTTACATGCACACGCAAATTAATTTATATGGTTGGTATTGATTTGTATTCGTAATTACATAATTTTGAGTGGAATGTCGTTGAAATAAGTGCGAGTAAATGTTTAAAATGCTAACAAAATTTGAAGTACGTCTACGAACATTGAATAGGTATTCCCAAGAGCTGATATATATTGCATCGGATCATGTGATTATATATTACTTGTTAACAACACACGTCACGCACGAAGCTTTATTACTGTATGGCTTGTGTTTGTAGCCGATATAGCATGTGCTTTGATTGGCTAATTATAGTGCATTGTTTTCCCATAAATTATGCCCACAGGCCAATAACAGACATGGAAAACCAAAGCAAAACCCATACAATTAACAACTTATTAACCTTCTAACATTCGGTCTTTACAGAAAAATCTCAAACCTTGGCCTTGCCGCATTGACCTTGATATCACTCAGTCAATATGGTAAGATCTTGGTTGGAGATTTTCCCATTAGGACCTCACTCTCATTCAATAAGTAGTTAGTATTCACAAAGAAGGAAAAACTTCCATTATGCTACGTATCTTGACAGGTATGCAACACAAGTGAGAAAACATTAGAGGTTGTACGGGAATCTGATGGCAAATAATTCTCTTAAAAAATTGAACTCAGAACAATTTATGAATAGAAAAGTTAAGAGACCAAGCTAAGGCAAAGGATTGCGTTGACCAAATTTGAGGGATGTAGCTTTAAAATGTACCTAGAAAAGATCCAGTTGTGTTTTTGATTTTCCTTACAATAATCTTTAAATTTTTACACGGCTTTACAAGTTTGGGCAGACTTTACCTGCAGATTTTACCTACAAGTTTGTGGAAAAAGATTATAGATAAATGTACAGGATTTTCGCATTGCATAAGTTTGAAGACAGAGAACAATTTGTAGTTGGTCAGATCCTCGCAATCAAAAAGAAACTAGAACAAGGGACATATGATTACAGTTTTCTATCAGATGCTGATGTAGAGGTAACAAAAAGGTAAAGAAAAGCAATATTACGTTTAATTAATATTGTTTTTTATATTCTTTTTTTTTTGTCTTGAAAAATCTTAAGAGTATCTGGCAAGCCCATCAGTAGACAAGGATTTTTCGCTTATGGTGTTTTGCACTTCATTGAAAGTTTTGTTTATTTTTAGACATTATGTTTGGTTTTCTTAGTGATAAAACCGAACACGCAAGATTCCCGCCATTTTTGCTTTAGTAGCCAATCGGATTATGGCTCTCGTTCGTGGATTGGTGCGGGTAGGATATGAAGAGATCAGTAGAAAATAATCATTTTATCAAAAACAGTGTGTTTGTGCTCTTTGTACAAAAGAAGGAAAATAGTGGGTCTTAAACGGGATTACACCTTACAGAATTGTGAGTATATCGACAATATGTTGGAGAATGTTTTTTGCTGTTTCAATTTTTAGGTTAGATCCGATTTTTTAGAATTGCTACATTGTATAGTCAACCCACATGTATGCCTTTGCTTTCAGTTGACTAGCTAGCGGTAGCTTGTGCTGATTAAACTAGTTCAAAACAACTAGTAGATCTCATGGACTTTATTTTCCTGGTGTGTCTTCAATTCGAGTAGTACCCTGATCCGTGTTGTGAAACATATGGAGAACTTTATTATGTATGGAAAATTAAATGCAAATGTTGATTGAAGATTTTGCAATCAACTTGTTTCAAAGTTGTCAACAAATTTTACTCTTTGCAAGGTGCTCTTGAAGATTTTGACAAAACAACCCCATCTACTACAAAACAGTCTTCACAGGCTGATTCACAGAATGGTGCTAATTTATCGGACTGTACCAAGAGAACTGAAACCAAAGCTTGTGAGAAAAGCAGCGACACAACAACAGTGAAAACTCAAGGAAGCACAACTGTGGCAGCTTCACCTCAAGACACTTTGGATCGTGCTCATTTGGAAGCCAACCTTGGCCAGGTACCAGGGCTTGACCAGTTAGAAAATGCTATGAAGACGATGCTGGGAAATGAACCTGAACTGCTGGCTCATTTGGAACAGTTTGCTCAAGCTGCAGCTAGCGCTGACCATGGTATAATGGGGAGTAATCTATCAGGGGCTGGGGGCAGGGTGGTCCTTATTAAGGTAGCCCTTGTTGTGTTTCAGACGAAAATATGAGGGCACTGACAATTTTCTGTTTCCTTCTCCTGACCTGACTACTAAAGTACAATGTTTTTGTACCTTATTTTGAGCCTGTTCCCAGGAGATGGAGGGACTGGAAGGGAGTGCTTTTCTCCCATAATTATGCATTAAAGGACCCTAATTGACCTCCACCATTTTTGGTGCGATCAAAATTATTGAGATTGCATGGTGAAGTGAAATCATATTGCTTTACTGTAAGTTGCATCCCTGAAAGTATGATTAATCATCTTAAGTAGTTCACAGTGATTTCCTTTGTTTTGACATGCTGCAAATAAAATAATAGCCAATCTCTCACTTGTAAAGAAAAGCAAAGGTGTGGCTGACTAGGGCCCTTGAAGCAATGTACTTTACCACGGTCTGTTTGGTGAAAGAGAGTTAATTCTTGAGCCATTTTGGTCATTCTTGATTTAGTTTTTAATCTTAGTTAGCTTACCGCATAGGTTTTTGTCCTTTTTATTGTATTTTAGATTTTAATGTATTTTAAGGTTTAACATTTTTTCAGAGGACACTCCTGAAAACCACCTCATGGTGATTGGAGGCCTCCTCTCAAAATATTATGTATTATTATTATTACTCACAGAGATGTAGCTAATTGTAAATCAGGTTTGTTGGCATAGAATTGGTCGAGGGTTTTTGAGGGTCTGTTCAGTAACAGAGAGCCCTTGAATGAGCCACTTTGGACTTCAGGAGAATTGTATTGTTAGTAGATAATAACAAATATTTAAATAATTGTAAATCACGTTTGCTTTGCATGGAATTGGATGATGGTTTTTGAAAGAGACTAAGTGTCCTATACATGGTCTTAAAGATGAGGTACACTCTCTGATTCTACTGTTATTTTCCTTCTTAGATAGTCCATCATCATTGGCCGATCTTGAAGCTAACCTTGCTAGAACCATGAATCATTTGGCTCAAAATGCTAAAGACTTAGAGGTACATGTAGCTAAAAGACTATGATGATAATTATTGTTACTTATTTCTACCACCAATTAATAGCTGTCATAATATAATAAATTGTTGCTTTTGGTTTCATGATATCTTCAGGAGTGGATTATTTTTGAATAAAAAATATCAACTTCTAAATGCCTTTGTTGTTGGTAGTGGGTGTCAGTCAAAAGGGAGTAATAATTATTAATACTGGTCATAGTCGTCTTGATGTTTCTTTATGAAATTTTGTGTCTCCTGTGCAGAACTGTCCAACAGCACCTTTGAATGAAGATTTCTTTAAGGCCATGTCAGATATGAACCTTGCCAGTGGTAGTGATGGGGAGCTGGACTTTCTACCATTAATGCAAGGCATGATGCAGAACTTACTGTCTAAGGATGTTCTTTATCCTGCCTTGAAAGACTTGAAAGAAAAGGTACATGTACATGTAGTGATTGGAGAAACATATTAACCATTAACTAAAGACTTTAAACTCACATTGGGTAGCCTAGTTGAGGGGGGTGAATAGGTTTTCGGATCGACAGATTTGACCTTAAAAAGTGCGCCGATTGTGGATTTTTGCAGTAAATCGAGCGGATTTGTGGATTTTGAAAACACAGTGGATCAGCTGTGAATTTTGGCGCCGATTCCGGATTGTGCCTGCCTTGATGTTCGGATCTTGGGTCCTAAACGAAATTTGGATCATAGATATTTCTTCAGCCTTGGTTGGTATGTTAATGAGTTCATCCAAATTATTTCTTTTTTTTGAATGAAGCTCATTAAAACTGTACTGTGCCGGAATTGTACTGTGTTATAGTCAGCAAGCATATTTGTGTGAAATTAACAATGACATTCACATTTACCAGTTTACTTTTGAACTTTTACACTTCTGTTTCCAGATGTGGTTGTGGTTTTGGATTTGAACGAAAATATTGACAGATCGACGGATTTGGCGAAAAAAAGGCACAGATCGGCGGATTTGCATACCCCTATTCACCCCCCTCCTAGTTGTCATGATTAATTATAAGCATCTGTGAGATCATGGGTTTGAATCCCAGCTGGG